ACATAAGGAGCGAGCTCGGAGACGAGACCAGAGACACGGTTAGAAGAGGGGGCGCTGAAACGTGAAAGGCCCGCGCAATGTGTATCCAATACTATTAGTTATACGGACATTTTCCCCCACCCAGGCTGCTTACTAACCACACGGCTGCGTCCACCCCGCCTTTCCTGCTAATCCTTGCCCTACGGTTAGGATCGCAGACTTGGCTGCTATTTAACTGCGCCTTGACTTATCCACCTGGATGAACGTAGCAGCGGCCGTCCATCTCCATACAGGCTGAACCCATGGTATGAGCGCTCGGCCAGTAGAGATGCTTCCCACCAGCGACATGAGGCTGTAGCGGCTGCTGCCGTTAGATTGTGAGCGTAAAATATAAACAGAACGGAATTATGTTAACATTTCAATATTTTGTTTTCCATTACCCTGTACTGTCAGTACAGCCTGTGAGCCCTGCTATAATTATTAATACAGCGGACAGCCACCAATTTTGCGAGCAGCTGATTGGTTCCGGGACACCTTTTTTAGTCAGACAAAAAATTACTCAGGCAGAACTAGTTATGGGGGCGTGGCCTCAGATGGCGTGAGTGTTAGCGGCGCATACTCGTTGCCTTGTAGTGTGTGAGGCGTATAAACACCAGGGCGTGTACAGGGGGGGGCCAGGGGGGTCCGGACCCCCCCCGCCCTCGCTCGCGCAGAAAACGCATCTGAAGGGTCTAATTTCAAAAAAATTACGGAGGAGAGCCCCCCAGCACCCCCTGTCGCGTGCTTGGCAAGTTTGCGGTTACGTTAGACCCCCTGGGTACCAAATCCTTGTACACGCCCCTGAACACCTGTCAATCCGTACTTTACATTTAATATTTGGTTAATTTAAAAAACCCGCAACAATGCCGCCATCCAAACGCGAATTTCCTCCAGCTATAGACTAGCAAATACTTTGTGCTCATGCATAAATCACATTACCTATTACAAAATAAACTCTTCGTTCCTCCCATTTTCACTGCGCGTCTGTCTTATAGAAGCGTATTTGAAAATACCTCAATGTTGTGTCAAGTCTCCGATGTTGCTTGACAGTTTCCCAATCAACCGTGCAGCGGTGCTGCGGTACAGCGGTACGGGCGTAGCAAAGATAAAAACATGTGACGTCACGTCACCACTTCGAGGCTATATTATTTGGCAAACAGTCGGCGTTTGCGCCAGAATGCCAGTTTTCTCACCTCTTTCTTGTGAGTTTTAAGCAAACGCGCAGTGAAATGGGAGCAACTAGAGTTTATTTTGTCATAAGGTAGTGTGATTACGCATGACACGAAGTATTTGCTAGTCTAGTACTGAATAAATTAGCGTTTGGATGCGCATTGTGCGGCTTTAAGTTTCTAGCAGCCCATTGTACTTTGGAGACACGAAAGGTGTATAATTAGTGGGCCTGAGGTGTATTTTACAATTATTAAAATATGGAACGTCTGTTGGTCTGACAAAATGGTTGATCTGGCAATTACTGCTTTGGAAACAAAGCATGCTGGAAAATCGGTGGCGTACATGACATCTGTATGATATCAATAACTATTGAATAAATAAAGATTATCACGTCATAAATATTAGCAGATGAAGTCCAACGGACTTCATCGAAGTCGGAGAGAGAGTTGATCAAATAGACAGATCAACATGCAATCAGGATGCAATGTATGAGGATCACAGTAGAAAGTTTCTTTTTTCAATTAACCAAAGACGAAGGCAGAGAATTCCAATATGAAATGACAGAAACCAATAAGCTGAACTTAGAGGAATCGCTCTGAAGGTGGCACATATCGAACCGCAATGCTCAGATTATCGAGTTCTGCAAACACGAAACAGGCTTCATCAATAATCAAGCAAGTCACAGGCACTTGGAACGTCTCAATAAAAAATAATAATGGTAAATAAACACGAAATGTATTTACTACCAAAGTCTTAATGTTTCTCGACTCTATCTCGCCTATAATCACCTGTAAATGCCGGTCAAATGCTCATCTGCAACACACAAGTACACCGCACACTAGCTGCTGCACACTGACACATGTCTATAGCTCATAGGGTCTATGTCCCCCAGGGTACTGCCGGAACGTACCCTGGTAACTATTTGATATGGTTAGGGTTAGGGTTAGGGTTAGGGTTACTCATTAGGGTTAGGCAGGCGCGTAGCTAGGATTTTATTTTAGGGGGGGCGGCAATGAGCACGTAAAGTGTGCGAATCAGGGGCGTAAATCCGTACCGAGGAGGGGGGGGATGATCGGCGATAGCCATCACATACTAGCACGAGTACAAGCCCACAATAATTTACGATCGCGCACGCACAAACATACACATACACACACAGGCACGCACGCACGCACGCACGCACGCACGCACGCACGCACGCACACACACACACAAACACATACACACACTAACGAACAAACAACAAACACACGCACACACAAACACACGTACATACATTTATACATGCATACATACATGCACGCACATGCCAAATTTGACAATCGTACGTTTGGCACGTGCCGTAGGCATGCCAGTGCTAGGGGGGTCTGGGGGCATGGCCCCCCCCCCCGAAAATTGTGAAATATTTAAGCCATTTTCCTGCAATCTG